TTTTCATATTCTTTTGTTTATTAAAAAAGTTTGAGCGCATTACTTTGTTATCCGATCGTGGCCCTCTTCCCCAAAAGGTTGCCCCCTGCTCTGTATCAAAACGCAGCGATCCTTCAGATTGGGGCACCTTAATACTCGATTGTTGCAACGGGGTCAGTCATACTACTTACTCAAAGTACTTGTTGCTTCCCCTGAATCTTATCTGCACTTTCACGCTCATTATGCCCATTCAAGGGGTACGTCTCCGGAATACAGAACACCCCTCACTAATGATATTCGTGTGATACGTCACACGCGAACTTGCAAAATCGTCTGAGAAATGGATCTCCCCCTCCTCTTCTCTTTATTGATCAGTGGCTATTGCCAACAATCGTTTTGTTATTGATGGCGAAGATTTGGCGCGGAATAAGAAATTAAGATGAATGTCTGATGTCCTACTAGTGGTATTAGTGGGCAAAGTACCTCTGAGGTAGGGATGGCGATATGAGAACTATTAATCGAAAAATCGATTTCTCCGGCCAAAAAAAGTCGATTTTTTAAATCGATATATATCCCTAAATTGATTCAGTGAGTCGATATTTCGACAGAAAAAAATAAATCGACAGTCGATTTTTTTCTGTTTTGGTAAAAACAAAGGATTTAAGGCATATTTGGTAAAAACGAAGAATTTATACACTATTTATCTCAGGCAGTTGTACAACTGAAGTATGATCCTGTACTTTAATGGCAGAATAAAAAACACTCTATTTATCATCAAGTTCACTCGATAGCCATGATGTATATGAGTATCGTGGGATCGTCTATTCCTTGTAAGCGACTTTTTCCTATTGCCGGTAACATCGCAAGTGATGAGTGTAACCACTTGGATCCCAGTAGACTTGACACACTGTAGTTTTTAAAAAGCTTAGATCTTATAAAAGCATTGGGAACAATAAGCTATATTATGTATTTTCTAAACTTTTTAATGTAACAAATACATTTAGAAAATAAATGTCTTCTTATATCTGATACTTCGATATGGTAGTAAATATTCTTGCAATTGTCGAATTCCCTGAATTAAAAAATTCCCTGATTTTACTGGTAAGATATCGTTTATGATGGTATATTTCTTGTTTTTCATGAAATGGATTTATATTTACATTGTAAATGCAGACTTGAAAAAAAATCGATTTTTTTAGAAATCGATCTTTTAGACACCGACTTTTTTTAAATCGATTATCAGGTTACGATTCGAATCGATTTAAGAAAATCTATCTTTTTCGGAAAAAGAGAGAGAGAGAGAATCGCCATCCCTACTCTGAGGCAATTATTGTTGTTATCTGTTTGTTTGTTTCTGGAGAGTCACGGAGTAAGACAACGGAAGATAAGTTAAGAGATGGATTTGTAATAAAATCTCTTTCAATGTCCTATTCATGACGGTCAAAAGAGAAATTTGTAATATCAAAAAAGTGCATGTCAAAATTCATCCAAATCTATACATAAAAAAATGGATGTTTGTAAATTTGAAATCGCATCGCTCCAACACCGTTCAACCCATGACTATGAAAATTAGCATGTCTATGTATTCTTTGTAGAGAAGGTTTGGGTGCTATCCTTTTTGTTGCACCAGGTGGCGCAATAGCATATAAGCTTCTGCACTGTTCAATCAATCACCAAGGTGTCAACAGTGTCACCAAAAATGATGTCAATTGGTTCTATCACCCACATTTCGCAATGTTTCTATTGAATCGCCATTATAGTGAAAATAACGACGTTGCTTGTGAATATTACAATTTTAACATAAATTAAATATAGCAGAAAGTAATAATAACGTATAACACATCCAAATATAAATTATTCACACTATTTTAAGCGTTCATTACGCAAAATGTGTAACACTGAGTTACTTTTGTTGAGCAGAGATCAGCTTAGGAAGGTATTTCAAGAAACCTACAAGAAAGTTAAGCGTTGTTATAAATGAAAAAAAATCCTTTTTATCAGCTATTAGATCTACAGACTTAAAATTTAACAAATTAGGGGGCTTAGTTCAACTGAGATAAGTAAAAAAAAATTTTTTGTTTAGTTTGCGATTCACGTAATATTAACTCATTAAAAACTTCTTTATCCTTTAATCTGTATTGTTTAATTTTTTAATTCATCCGTGCGAAGAACGGGTATAGCAGCTAATCAATATATAAAAGAGAAAAGCGACTCACTCACTCACCACGATATCTGGGGAACTATTCGACCTACAGATTTTAAATTTAGCAGATGTGTTCCTTTCATGGAGTAGAAATTCACGAAGAAGGGGTTTTGCGAAAAATGATCCCCAATGGGTTTGCGAGAGATTAAGGGGGCGTGATAGATAAATATGCTCGTTTTTGAATTATTTTAGACCTACAGATTTGAAAAATTAGGCAAGTATGTTCCTTTCATAAAGTAGAGTTTCACAAAGAATGTGAAAATCTAACCACATGAGGGGTATCTAGGGGTTAAGGGCGTTATAGATAAATATCCCCGTTTTTTAAAAAAGACATGCAGACTTGAAATTTGACAGATGTGTTCCTTTCATTCAGTAAAGATCGGAAATCGACTTCTATAAGGGTTTGCGGAGAATAACTGGGTCTTAGAGATAAAAATAAATCCCGTTTTCAAACTACTAAATCTACAGTAATAAATTTTGGTATGTATGTTTCTTTTCTTGAGTTGAAGAAGAACGGTGCTTACGGAAATCTACTTACAAGGGGTATTACGGGGCATATTGATAAAACAAATTTCCGTTTTAGATCTATTAGATTCAGATTTGAAATTTGGCGAGCATGTTTATTTGGTTAAGTAGAGATCCACTAAAAATGGGTTTTGCGGAAATTCATTTTAGGGAGGGGGCTACGAAAGATTATTCTATACCCAAAGAAGCTGAGGGGTTCCGGCTTGCATAATAATAAAAAATTTCAAAAATAATAACAATAAAAATTATAGATAATTTTTTTTTCATATTTTGTACGATGAATATATTACATATAATATGTCCTCTATATGTTGCTGAAGCCGAATGATCAGGATGTCTTCATTTTTTGACAAAAAATTGCATTTAAATAACTTTTTCAATTCTTACTATTAGTTCACATTCTCGCTATAAGTATTTATATACAGGGTGGTCATAATTAAACTGCAAGTGTTCAAGAGATGCTGGAGAAAAAATGACCGGGAATATTCCAGTGAAATTTGATATCTACACGTTTCAGAACATGCACCAAGTCAAATATGCCAAAAAGAAATCGCCATTTTTACCCGATAGAACAATTCTTATCGACAGCATGTATACAAATTTAAGCCCATCGAACAGTATAAAAACAAGACCACATTGAGTAGCGATGTTGAGAAGAACAATTGATTCCAGCATTGCAAGAGAGACATTGTTTAGAAATCACGGTATTTATACCTGTTTAAAAGTTGCTACATTTTTGGTGTGGACCAAGTCACAAGCAGAGGTTTCGAAAATGCCTGGCCCCCACGTTCACCGGACCTTAATCCTTGAGATTTTTAACAAGATAGATGACAACATGCTTCGCGATGACTAATGCGATAGATAACAACATGCTTCTGTTGATGAATTGAAATCTAGCATAACGAGACACGCGAGGTGTGTTAAAACAGAGATTTTAAATGCGATGGTGGACCATGTCGTTTTATGTTTTCAGTATGTGGTTGCATCTGGTGGTTCTATATTTAGCATATCATGTGATAATTTTATTGAATAAATAATGGTTTAATTGTTTTCCAATGCGTTTTTATGGATTATTTAATTTGTTATCTTAATTTACATTAATTTTTGATTACAGGATACTGTAAAAATTTAATTACTGGAACGATTTGTATGGAATTTTAATGAACTATAAGTGATTTTGTATTTTGTTTGTATATGCCTCTTTTACAATGTCATTATGTTCTGTCTATCGTTTTTGGAATTTGATTTGCGCATGTTCTGAAACGTGTAGACACCAAATTTCACCGGAATATTCCCAACAGGTTTTCTCTCCAGCACCCCTTGAACACTTGCAGTTTAGTTATGACCTCCCTGTATCTTTTTTAAATTTTTAATCGTTAATAAAATACTATTTATTCCTCCACTGAAATTCAAATACATTTTTTAAACTTGTATTGGATAACACTTGATGTTAATGAAATTGTTTTCAGAAAAATTCATTAATTAAATTTAATTAATTAATTATAGTTTAAGAGATATATGTTTTAGTTATTATTATTTCTGTAGAGGACACACACATAAACACCATTCGATAAAACAGCTTTTGTTAAATTTGCGATGAAGATTTAGCTTAACCTATCTTTTTACACTGGTTTTAAGACAACTTATCACCTATTATATTCAACTTTTATTAAGAAGTTTCATTACAAATTTAATGCGGTTAAAAAGTTTTCAATGTTAATTTAAAAGGTGTTTTTCCACAATATTGTGATTCTGTCATGTGTATATATATTTATATTAACTGTAATTATTTAATAAAAAGTAACTAAAATAAAAAATCTTCTTTGCTGACCTAAGTAGGACTTGACTTAAAATTTTTTTTTATATTACTTGTTTATTGTAATAATGCTATTAAAATCATTTTATATGCAAATTATAATTCAACTGACGATAAATAATAAAAAAATTATTCATTTTCATGATTTTTCAAAATCCCAGTTCTGAACGTAATCAGTTACCTTAAGTTAACAAGTAATATAAGAACAATTTTTTAAGTCAATTCCTACTTATGCCAAAAAAGAAAAATTTTATTTTAGTTACTTTTTATTAAATAGTTACAATTGATATAAATATGTATATACATATAATAGAATCGCAATAGAAAGCGAACAAAATAGAAAGCGATTTTCCTTGCAATTTTCTCTCTTGTTGTTGGATTATTTTTTTGTTTGTTTGTTACTATTTATACATTAATTAAATTTAATTATTCCAACAAAATAGAACAGTAAAAAAGAAATACATTCTCAGAATTTAGACCATTCCAGGTGGGATTCGAATCCACGACCTTTGGATTAGAAGTCCAATGCGCTACAGAGGCACAATGAACGGTTTTCTTTTCTATATATGCTGTTGGACTGTTATTTTTGTTACTATTTATTCATTTTTTAATTTAGTTAATGAATTAATATTTGAAAAAACTGTATTAACCTCAAGTGTCATCCACAAAATGTATTTGAACTTGAATGGATGAATAACAAGTATTTTATTGACAATTGAAAATTTGAACAAGATATATATATATAGGGAGAGAGTGAACTATTAGTAGGAATTGAAAAATTCATTTTGGTTTCGATACTGAATTTATACCGAATTCTTGATGTTGGAAGAAATATTTAGCTGAAAAACTTACTATTTCTAAGGTTTTTGAGTTGAAATCATCTCATATTGAAAGCAGCCTTTCGATCCCTACCGTTTTGCGAGTAAAAACCAGAAAATGTGTGCAACCGTTTCCGGTCCCGATATGGCGTCATCTCGTCACAAGTCGGGGGCCTTTTAAAAGGACCCGGTGGTTAATTACTAATCTTCCATTCTTCGGGCGGGTTGTCGAGCGGAATACAAATAGGGGCATTGATATTCGAGCGGAGTCACTCGCCTTATCAGTTGCAAAGAAAAACCATGAGAAGAAAATTTCTAGCGTACGCCCCCTCCCCTCCTTGCCCCCGTCATGGAAAAAAATAATAAATAACCATACCGAAATTTTCATTTGGTGGCAATGACTTTCTTTTTTTGTGTGTTCCGGTTTTTATGCGAAGAGGAAGGGACCGAATAAAACGATATTGGATTAATTTTGATTTTCAATTTTTGAAATTTAGTTCAGTTTAAATGTTAATAAGTACATTTTAATCCTAGACATGAACAATGGTGCTGTGAATTGAAAGCAGAAAAGAAAATTGCTTGAAAATGATGGTGGAATCTTAGTACGTTACTTTATTGTTTGTGAAATGAGATAATTGTGATAATGTAAGGAGGGATACAACCTTAAGACGTTCAAAAAATTAATTTTTGAAAAATAATTTTAAAAATTATTATATAATGTTAAGAACACGTTTTAAAGCAAATCCGACAGTAATTACGATCTCAGCAAAGGAAAGTATAAATCTTATGAAAAGACGGCCTTTCAAAAATGCAACCCTACAGATTTTTTTTCGTTCATTTCTGTTTGTATATTTTTATTAGCATCCCATTTCGAAGAAATGTGAGGGATATTGGTGCGAATCCCGTAATTTAAATCTCTGTCAAATGATGAGTAAGACGACTGATTTGCTCTCCAGGCTCTGTTCGGATTTGGAATATACAGTTAAATTTTTTATATGATATAGAGCTACATAACACATTATTATCTTTCAATAAATGATGGAATGATGTTCTACTTCTTCCGATGTTACTTTGTAGTGTGTATTTACTTAAGGAATCCGACTACTCTAAAATCATCATTTTTTTAAAAAAACTGACATTTTTCTTATGATTTTATTTTATAGACCATCTTATTAACTTTATAAAAATACCGTTTTTTATTTTCCATTCCCAACAACAAAAACTACAAATCATTTATTAAAAGCAGATGCAATAACTTTACGTAAGATGCCAAACTTTAAAATTCGTTTTACTCGAAATGTGTTTCTTTCGAAAAGCTCAGACAGTGACAATAATTGCTCAAAAAGTTTTTAAAATAAGTTGCCGAAAATTTTTTGTGTATGTTCTGTATAACAATAGAAGTGCTTTAATCTTCAGATTTATCGTTCATTGTTTTATTAGAAAATTTACAGTTCTTTATATGAATATAATCACTGTTTTTTTAAGCAATTTCAAATAATAACTAAAATAAAGTGCTCTAGTTTTTGTCAAAGTTAAAAAAACTCTTATCTTAAAGGTCATTTTAAAAAGGAATAGCTAAGTAATACATCAAAATTGAAAAATTGAGAATTTGCCCATTTACTATTTGTACAGAGCGGGCCCCGTCAGTGACGCACACAAGGGAGGTCCGGACCCCCCCCAAAAAAGCCGTTGACTTTTTTCCGATTGATTATAATTCTATGTATATAGTACGTAAAATTTAATTAAGTATTTGTTATTAATGATTAATTTTATTAATTAAGGCTAATTATTTATTCAATAATTGGTGTTTTACTGTATTTTGTTCCCGAAAATTGACAAAATCAAAAGGAGCATGATACAAGAATGGTGAACTTTCGACCCCGGACCCCACCTCCCTTGAAAAATTCCTGTGTGCGCTACTGGGCCCCGTTTATATAAATTTTTTTTGTCAATTTTTACCCATTTCAGTAGTAGTAATTTCTTTTCTCTTCTTAATTTTGGCCCTTTCTTAAAATATACCAAATAAATCTAAAAACCACAAAAAAAATCTCCATATCTCCATTTTTTTTAAGTAGTCGCAAGTAGTCCGATACTTTAAAGCAAAATCATACAAAAAAACTTTTTCTAACAAATGTAACATTATTATGTCTATTATTGTAATGATTGCAAATCAAATTTTAGTTTCAGAATGATCTTCACCCTAACCATTAAAAAAATAGTAGGATAGAAAAAGTCAAAGCTGAGATCTTTCAGTTGTACAGTTTGGAAGTACTGACCAAAAAATGCATCAAGACCTTCCAAAATAATTGATATTGGTTTAAAATTAAACAATGGTGATATTTAATGATAGAATGGCTACTCGCTTAAATATTATGAAACGTCTGGGTTTTAAATTACAGTACCAGGGGTTTCTAAAAGAATATATATATATATATATATATATATATATATATATATATATATATATATATCGGAGTTTTAACGCGCGCGTGATTTATAGTATTTATCACATATAAGTTGCAAGTATAATTCATACATTGAATGAAAGAGTAACTGAAACAGTAAACTCTTGTTTTACCTACAAGTTTACAAATGTTCAATGTGAGCCCATTCTTCACACGGCACACATCAAATTGATAGGCGAGTTCATCCAAAATCTTTTTCAGTGTGTCTGAGAAAATTCTTGCAACATCTGCTTCCCTCCTGTGTCTTAAGTCTGAAAGGTCATCTGGTAGCAGAGAGACGTGCGTACAATCTCTTATGAACCCCCACAGATAAAAGTAACATGGTGTTAAATCGGGTGAACGTGGAGGTCATGCGATACAAGCTTTATAGGGAGGATCTTTGCGCCCAATCCATTGGTTGGGTACAGTGATATTTAACCAATAGCGTACTGAGAAATGCCAGTGAGGCGGCGCACCATCTTGCTGCCAAATGAAGTCATTTGGTTTACTTTCTTCCAAATGAGGAAATAGACATAGTTGTAGAGCATCAAGTTAGGCAGAACCAGTTACAGTTGATTACCAGTTACAGCTTTGGTCGTCCCGTATTTTCCCTTTACAAAAAAGACATCCATTTGTTTCAAACTGATGATACTACCAAAGAATTTTATTATCATTTGGAGGTTGACAACCGAACTTAATACGGAACGCTCACAGTAATAGCAGATTCTGTCTTGGCAAACCGGAGAACACAAAAGCACTTTTTGTTAACTAGTCGTCATTTTTCTACTAGCGCGTTGATCGGCAAGAAAGGGGGGAAATTAGCATACGTTTCGTACACACGCGCACACATGCCAGCAAACAAAACTGTTTCAGTTGCTCTTCCATTCCATGTATGAGTCAAATACTAATATGTTATATGTAATAAATACTATAAATCGTTAAAACTCCGATATTTTTTTAGAAACACCCGGTACTTTTCTGTCATCACTGCTTTTCAGGCTGACTATGCTTGAATAAAAGGAGCAAAAGTTAATTTTATGTTTTCTCCAAAACAGGCTCGTAAGACTCGGATAAAGAGGGGGAAAACACTTTGACTTGAAAAATGAATCATGAAATGGATTTATTCAACGAGAAGAAAAAGCTCATCGCGTTTTAAATGTTCTAAAAAAATTGTGAATTTTTTTTTCTCCATAGCTCTGTAGCAATGTTATTTCAAATCAGAAAAACATCGACTGAAAAGCTTTATAGCTTTTCTGGGTGTGCACGATCTTCTTGGAGAAGGAAAAAAAGTTAAAAATAAAATATTATTCATAATGGGACATTTAATGTAAGTTAACTTATAAATGCTTATTTTTCTTGCTCCGTGTTGATGAAAAGGGCCAAGAAGCTCTAAGGCGTTTAAAAATGAGACTTAGTTTACAACACATGTTGAAAATAAGAAATTGGCTCTCTTTGTCTTTGTTTTCTCCCCCTCCTCCCTTTTTTTTATTCAATGAAAAAATTTCTGTTTCTAAGTTTTCTTTAAAACTGTTTAAGTCAAACGTAATCAAACACAACATTATCAAACAGAAAAGTATCATAATTAAATACATTTTTACTTTCACCGTGTAAAGTTCAAGCTTAATCAGCATTGCTATGCAAGGTATTTATAGTTACGTCCTACACTGTGTGTATTATGCAACAAATTTTATACTTATCAGATATTTTATATGTATCACATTTTAAATATACCAGAAAGAATGGGTCATCTCTTTTAAAAATGAATATTCTAATGAAATACGCCGTGTCCCTATAGGTGATGAAGTCATAATATGGTATTAATTTAGGAGCTTTTCAATCTATAAACGTTTTCATTTTTTATCCTATTCCTTATCATTACGCTTAGTTAGACAAGATTTATATTAGAGTAAAGATGTTTTGTTATAACCAGTTATGATAATAAACATTTGATGCTCCATTAGAATTTCATTTGTGTTTTTTAATTTAATACCAAGGTTTCAGAGAGTAGCAGCGATAAATTTTTTGTGTTTGGGTTGAAATTATCGCACTATCTTAAATATTGTTATTGATTTTAATGCATTTTTTCATACTGATTTCAAATCGTGGTTTATTGTTGAAAAAATTGAATGCAGTTGTGTGTTTTCCACCATTGAAATGCTCCATTAAACCAATCATAGAGTAGTGCGATAAAGGGTTGAAAGAAAAAGGTGAAACAATTTGAAGTGCGTTTGTGGAAAATATTGGAATTATGGCTACATTTTCATATCTGCCTGAGAATAAAAGGTACAA